ACTTAAGATGTTTTGGAGGGCTTTAGTTGATTTGTGTGCTACAGAGATGCCATGTGGTTGTTTGTTTCTGAGACATTTCTGATGTTATCCTTTTCATAGCTTGTGTTGGTTATGTTGTAGTAGGTTGAGTGGTTAGGCACTTTTTGATAAAGTTGTGTGGATATCCATTTTGTTGGAAGATGTTGTATAGGTGGTCTGTTTCCTTTTTATGCTGTTCTGGGTTGCTGCAGTGTATTTGCACTCATTTTTGATTTGTGTGCTACAGAGATGCCATGTGGTTGTTTGTTTCTGAGACATTTCTGATGTTATCCTTTTCATAGCTTGTGTTGGTTATGTTGTAGTAGGTTGAGTGGTTAGGCACTTTTTGATAAAGTTGTGTGGATATCCATTTTGTTGGAAGATGTTGTATAGGTGGTCTGTTTCCTTTTTATGCTGTTCTGGGTTGCTGCAGTGTATTTGCACTCATTTGAATAATGTTCTTATGCAGCTCCTCTTGTGGGAGGTTGGGTTGTTAGTTTGGTAATGGAGTACTTGGTTAGTGTGGGTTGTTTCCCAATAGATTTGGGTTTCTAATTTGCTGTTGTTTCCTCTGTTGATGAGGATATCCAGGAAGGATAGCATGTTGTTGTTTTCTTCCTCTCTGGTGAATTTTATTCCTTTAAAGATGTTGTTGATAGTTGCATGTGTCTTCTCTAGATTTTCCTTTTTTATTATAACAAAGGTGTCATTTACATACCGGATCCATACTTTTGGTTGTATGTGTGGAAGTGCTATAGTTTCTAGACGTTGCATTATAATCTGCTATGAGTCCTGAGAGTGGTGATCCTACTGTCCCCCCAACACTGGCAGGGCAAGCCACTATATATAAACAGAGAGCAAACCCCACTCCATTCCAGCACTGAAGATGTTATCTAGCCGGGTAATGAAACATTTGCAAGAAAAGAACCAAGTTCATAGAACCCCAAGGACTCCATAGTTCAACCCTGAGCTACATATGTTCTCTTCTATTGGTAAAAATACAATAGCAAAGGACTCCTCAGATCTGTGGAAAACTTTGGGGTTATTGTTTGGACAATCTTATTACTATCCTCTCCAATGTCTTTTGTGGAATTTGATACTGCGTGACACTAGAATCTGACAATTTATTAATTGTAATCAGTGACAGGGACTTGGTTCTCTGCAGATAAACCAACTTTCAGAGCAGCTTTACTTCTTCATTATGTCATCAGGTCCTTCATGAGAAAAGAAGGGGTGTAAGGATTGATATGATAGTGAACAGAAATGCATAATGGAATACTCCTTACCTCTACAGCAAGACTTAAACCCCCAAACTTTGAAAGGACATTTTTGGTTCTTGAAAATTCATATACATTAGTTGCTTGTGTCTACTGGTCCCAAGCAATTTACCTCTTATTCCAGAAGGAATTTTCCTCCTAGTTGAGTGACTTGTTACAACTGGATACTCATTTGTGGAAATTTTAACATCCACAATGATGACTTTTTTTTCCCCATAAGTACATTGTTTTTTCCCAACTCCTTGAGATATTAGTGGGGGTATGCAAAAAACCTGATTCAAAATGTTTTGAGCATGAACACTGAAACTTTTCAGCATGAGTGCAGAATTGCTGCCTCAAGGGAAAACTGTTGTTCTGAATGCCAAACAGGGTGCTTTGAATATTTTTGGAAGAATTTCAAATTCAGAATGGAGTATCTTGAGTTCAGAACGTAGGCGTTTTCAATTCAGAACACTTCCAAAATGATTGAAACAACCCATATTTAAAAAAAAAACCCACACATTTCACATTCAGACTGAAAAGCTTTGTGAAGTGCTCAAAATGGTTTTGAACAGAAATATTTTGCACACCTGTAGTTATCAGACAATGTTCATTCTCCCTTTTTCAGCTATGCATATGAAAGGTGGCATCCTGGTCTGGTGACCATAAAAGGTCTTGAGCTGGAGCTGTCTGCTTTACTGGACTGTGATCTTTAGAATCCTTCCCAGTACATTTTCTCCTACCTGAGCCTTTTTCTCTACAACTACAACCCTGTGACATACTGTGACCTGACAGTAAGTGACTGACCCCAAGTCATCCAGCTAGCCTTCATAGCTGAGGGTGGACTTCAACCTGCATGGCTCCAGTCTTAGTCCAACATCTTAAACAAGAAGGGTCTGTGCTGGTGCTGCTCACTCAAATCCTCCTGTCCCAGCTGAGATTGCTGAGCATCAACAGCATAGCCCTCTCTTAGTTTATTTCCTTTTTGAATGATCATTCTTTTCTGGTGTTGATTTGTGACTCCTCAACACCTCCTGTGATATTGCTCCTCACAATAAGTGTTCACTACGGATTGTTATCACCTCCACGTTTATACTCTCTATACATCTTCTCCCTGGGTAAACTGATTTCTTCCCTAGTTTTCGGTATCATTATGGAACGAGTCTTTTACATATTAGAGAGAAATATTATGCCTATGTAGATCAGGTACCCTCCACAGCGACCAAGAGAACAGCAAAATATCCATTGGCTCAAAAAGGTGGAAGAAAACTGTCTAGAATTTAAATTAAATATAAAAGCTTTGATTCCTTTCTACCATAAAGGAGAAAGCTCACTCTTCTTTTTGTCCACAATAAAGAGACTAATGTTGCTGAATTATGTCTGTGAGCCTCTGGTTGAATAAGAATAAAGAGTTAATGTCTGAAGAGCTAAGATTCAAAACTGTGCCTGTGGGAAGCCTGACAATCACATACACTGATGATATTTAGGTGCACCAGTCCTATGTTGAGCTTCACAGCATTATTTGGAAATCTACTGTATCTCAAGTAGTCTAAATAATATCTCAACATGGATGATTATACATTGTCTTGGTTTCAGCATGGACATAAGTGAGATTTGGTTTTTCATCTTGACCATTCTTCCACCATTTTTTTGTCCTCCCTCCTATCTGAACTCATGGCTGCCCAGTGACCCCTAGACTTGGCATTCTCTGGTAGATAACAGACTGCATTTGCAAAAAAATTGTAGTGGCAATGGTTAAAGCCTCTAATTTTCCTTTCAGAAATATTTGCCAGATCTGTTGTTCCTTGACAAAGGACTCAATAATGCTCAGTGCAGCCCCTATTTGTTTCTCCCTTGGACAACCAAATTGACAGAACTTTCCTCTAATCCAGATTCAGGACATCCTACTTTGGAATGTCCCCAGTCTTCCCATACCTTTGTGTATTATAGGGCCCTTCACTGACTCCTGTAACAGAAAACTCAATATAAATGTTTGGTTTTTGGTCTTTTGGGTCCTGTTGCACAATATTCTGCCTTATCTTTCTTCTCTAACTTCCCAGTAAACTTTTCTTGGATGTCTTGAGTAAATTTAGAGGTCCTTTGGCTGTGCTTTCTTATCCTACAGTCTCATTACAGCTAAAGAGTTTCCAAGACCTGGCCACTAACCTACAGAATCAGCCCAACAATTAATTTTAACATATTTAAGAAGGGTTTAAAAGCATGTTGATTTCAAACTGGGAAGCTATCTGCAGTCTGGGCAATACTGCAAAAACTAATCCTTATTCAAGCAGGTAATATGTAGCCTTTTACATTTTATTGGTTTTTAATTTAATTAAATTGTTTTATCAGCAATTTTGGTAGGGTGATGGGATTGCATGTTTAATTGGTTTGCTGATTTGGTAACTATCAGTTGGTTTTTATTTGGTTGTTATCTTTCTTTAATTTATTGTGTAAAGCTTTGCAATTACTGGTTGTCTTTGATAGTCTGATGTTTTAATTGTCTTTCATTATTTGCTATGTGCCTTGTTGAAAGACATGGTATAACTGGTTGTTGGGATCATCATCATCATCATCTCCTATAAAGGTGATTATAAAGTAACAGAAGAAACAGTAGATCATATACTTAGCTCATGCAAGAAGTTTGCATAAACTAACTATAAACAATGACATAACACAGTCACCAAAATGATTCACTGGCATATCTGTAAAAATTATCATCTGCCAATAATGAAAAATTGGTGGGAACATATAGTTGCAAAAGTAGTCAAAAATGAGCAGGTTAAAATATTGTGGGATTTCCAAATACAAATTAATAAAGTCTTGGTGCATAACACCCCAGATTTAATATGGTTGGAAAGAAGAAAGTATGGATAATTGATGTGGCAACACCAGGAGATAGTAAAATAGAAGACAAAGAACTGGCAAAGATCACAAAGTATCAAGATATGAAAATCAAAGTTGAAAGATTATGGCATAAACTGGCAGTGGTGGTCCCAGTGGTTATTGGCACACTGGGTGCCATTCCAAAAAGTCTTGGATGATACTTAATCTGCGCATTAACAAAATTTCCATCTGTCAATTGCAAAAGGCCACACTGCTTGGATTGAAAGATTATGGCATAAACTGGCAGTGGTGGTCCCAGTGGTTATTGGCACACTGGGTGCCATTCCAAAAAGTCTTGGATGATACTTAATCTGCGCATTAACAAAATTTCCATCTGTCAATTGCAAAAGGCCACACTGCTTGGATTCGCACATATACTACACTGATACATTATGACATCCTAGGTTCTTAGGAAAAACCCGGTGCAAATGAAGACCAAAACCAGCTAAAGAACTGGCAGCTGTGATTTCACATTGATGTGTATGTAATAATAATATACTCCTATAAAGGTGATTGTCAAGTTCTTGAATCCAAATATTGGCAATGGAAAATAATCATTATTGTTCATTATTGTTATCATGCTAAGATAAGGAAAGCTGGAGGGTTAATAAAAATTTGTAGGGACATTTAAAAATTGCTACCCTCCACCTGTGTTCCGAAATTATAATCCAGTTGATATACTGACATAAAAGGTTTGTTCATTGTAAGGATTGCAGTCTTTAAAAAAAAAAGGCTAACATAGGAAGACCTGCTAAATAAAAGAGTTATGTCATTTGCTTGAAGAGCTTTCTATTCTTACCTGCGACAGTGTAGTGCATCTGGTCTGCAGGACCAGTGTGTATAAGTCCCCTTCCAATTTGATGTATGTGATATTCTCTGATTATACCATTTGGCTTCTTTGGTGCCACCCAACTCAAATGCAAGGTTGTTGCACTTAGAGGTATAATTGTTGGTGGCTGAATGTTCTCCGGGACTCCTTGGACAGTGACTGCAATTACCTGAATGCACAAGAATTAGACAGCAATTTATTGTAGTGATACACAAGATACCTTGATCAATGAGAATGTCACTTTTAGTTTAAAATATTGTTGTTTGCTCTGGCATACCATTACCATGGGTCTGTGTAGAACAAGTTATTTTTCTTCTCTTAAATTTTTTCCACTCGCAGTGAGATCTGACCTTGAATATATTTCTCTATGAATCTAGGTGTACAATTTATCAAAGCAGATGCACAGTATTTTGCTAGGTGAAAGGAACATTTGGATGGCAGGCTGTCTTACCAGAAAATGCTGGCTAATTCCTTTCCATATGTTTAACAGTCTAATGTCATGTGGCTTGAATCACTAAGCAACCATTGGCATAAACTCTGAAGCCATGCTACCCTTGGCTTCATCTAGGGAAGCCATCAGAAAGAATTCCTATTCCTTCCTCATCTTCCAGAGATAAGGACAGTTTCCTGGTGGACAGAGAGCAGTTGGTTCTTCAGCTGCTGTATTAGAAAAGACATAAGTGATCAGGGATGATATTAATGTGACTACTCCTTTTTTCTTCCCAAGCCCAGCAGTGCCCTGTTCTTTGGAGTTCACTTAAAAGATTTCAAAAATTTCATCCATCAGACCTGAATAATGAGGTCAGATGGCTCAAGATATTCCAGTCACAGATCTGAATTCACTTGATTCCACACTGAGTTTTTATAACCACAGAAATCTGTTCTGAATTGGTTGAATGTGAGTCCAAAATATCTTTAGGATTTCCACTGCTATATGGTAAACATAACATTGAGAGTTATATAAATTCATCTCTTTCAAAGCCCCTTAAACTGAGAAATATGTGTGCAAATACAGGAGAAACATTCATGAGGGAGGTTTCTGCAGAAGACATGGACCAGAAGAAATGGTATGACTAGAAGATAGGATGCAGAGTCTATGACAGAACATTTTTTAAAGTTATCTAAATAATATTTTATTGTGATCCTGGTTGCTACTTATCTACTGTGAAACAGTGGTAAGAGCAGAAGCAGAAATAGGGACACAAAACCTTGCCTCTTGTCCCCACCTGTGGGTTCCCCTAGACACTTATTTGCTGTGTCAACTGATGAAAGCTATTTCTGATAAAGAGTTGAAGGAAAAGAATAGAAAATATTCTTAAGAACAAAAGATTACAGATAAATGATTTCTGCCCCATATTATCAAGGTGTTAGTTTTGTGGCAGAGAATGAAGCATAGAATCAAGTGTTTGGATTTATAAGAACTATATTCAGACAGAAACAAGAAGGAGTAATGAGGAATATACTCTAAACTGCATGCCACTTTAAAAAATGGAGGTAAGAATGATTGGATAGTGTGAATGGAGTGATATTTGACCCCATCTACAACAAGTGTGTTGACTCAACTGTCCAAGAAAGTATTATGAACTCTGTTTACTGCATCTTTCCTGAAAACTGTTTCTATTTGCGTGAACACATTGGTCCCAATCGATCCCATTTCAATGTGTAATGTAATTCAACTTACATACTATCTGGCCAAACTGGATGACTTCTCCCATTTCTTGTACTGGGCTACAGCACAAGGTGGCTGGCAGGGTTTATCTGGAAACATCAAAGTACGTAGCCAAAAAAAGAATGTTTCCATGTTTCAGTTGCTCTGCTGAAGGTTGCTACAATATGATGGAGAAGAAAATACTACTTTCATAGCATACTGAAAGATTTACGTACCGTGCTACTGTCTGAACATCCAGCAACAGTGCAAGCACGCAATATATATGAGTATTCCTGGTATGGTTGAATACCACTGGTGTCCATGAAGCTCAGTTCCTTTCCTCTGAAATGTTCAACTCCATTTCGGAGAATAATATAATAAACGATGATGCCTTATCAATAAAGAAATTAAAAAAAAACTTGTTTGAATTAAAGATATGCCAGATAATTATATACTAAAGTTAGAAAGTCTTACAATGATTCTGTAAAAGGTATGTTTAAACAGCAACCTGATACCAAGAATAAATTGGGTGACTTTTTGTCTTTGGATATAACATTAAAGTTCCATGAATGAATTTCAGGTTTGTGCATTCCGTCCACACTGATGTATTCTCTCCTCTCTCAAATTAAGCTTGACTCCTAGTTACTTAATGGACATATCCCTGTAATTTTCTTGCAGCAATGCAGAAGTGGTTTGCCATTGCCTTCTTGGATGTTTCTAAAGTTATGTCTTAATCTAAAGTGATAGTGGTCAGAATCAGTTGTAGTTTATTGAAACAAGCCAACTTTTCACCATGTTTTATAAAGCTGGAAGATCTTTATAAGCTGTGATATTAACTGCAGCATAGTATAGGAGGATGGCATTCAACTACACTTCATTAAAAACAGGAGCACCAACTTTAAACTCCTCCTTGCAGCTATGCCAGAGAAGAGAAAGAGAGGAAGCACAACAGCGTAGGACTTGTTCATATAACGTTCACCATCATATAACTTTACATTCAAATGAGGATATGTGAAAGTTGAGGCTGGGGAATGTCATGAACAAGATGCCAGAACAAAGAGAAATACAATATATTGTATCAAATATATTGTGCATTTCTTTTCCTGGTGAAGATGAAGATCTGGAACTGATGCCAGTAACTGTGGGTCATTCTTCACCAGAATGAATGAATGAACACACATACACTCACACTCTGTCATCTGTGCAGTACTTCAGAACTCAGAAATAATTTAGAAAAGTCCTTTGGAGCACACAGAGGAGGGAGAATATAGCACCTGTCAGTAGATCTTTAAAGGAACTATGACTTTTCTTGGAAATAAGTGGCTACTCCAAGAAATGTAGCAGCTGTTTTAGAGGTTTATGGATAGATGCTATGTTCTCTCTCTTGTGCATAAAAACACCTTTTGAATTTGAAGCCAAAATATATGCATAGCATTATATGTATATATACACATATACAAACACACATATTTATGTTTGTGTATGACAGTGTTGTCCAAACTTGGCCACTTTAAGATGAGTGGACTTCAAACTCAAACACACACACTCACACGTCACTCGACATGTCGACGT